TTATTACTCGAGCTTTTTTTTATATGCAAAGCTTTACTAATTCTAGGGATCAATTTTAAAAATTTTTATTGCTGGACCTTGCCCCTTGTGTTATACTGACAAAAGCTCTTAAAAGTGCACTTGGCTGAAAAATAATTTCAAAAGCTTTAAAAAAGCTCCCTTGATTACCTATTAAAGATTATATTAATATGAGTCTTATTTTGTGAAATACTAATATACAAACTGAGTGATTTTGGAACCAATTGGACTTTAACTTTTCTTAAGTCCAAATTATCTTTCGAAATGGYTTACAGATCCTTCCGATATTTCAGCAATGTCAGTAAGACACTGTTAATGACTGACTGTTAATCGTCGATTACCAAATACAAATTTTATTGACGGGTTGATCATCAATTGATGTTGATGGCCGTTATGGACGAGGTGCGTCGCCAACTCGTTCTTGACCCTTTGAATAATTTTTACTAATCAGAAACAATTATCACCGAAGCTCTTTTCCAACTTTCTGATTCCGCACACAGAATTTAATGAAACTTCTGAAGGCAAACATATATTAACCACTAATGATGTATTGTCCAACTGATAAGCTTCCAAGGTATAATATAATAAAAAATTTCACAKAACTGAGCTTTCATTTTCGAGCTTGCGAGGAATTTGTTTACATGTCAAAAATAATAYAGACTTTCCTCGCGTACTGTATAAAAAAGCTTTCATTCGAGCTTTCATCAAAAGCTTGYCTTCACGCCAAAAAGAGTTGATATTTAATAGTATAACTTTTCTAAGCGTGCCATAGTTACTACTGATTTCTTATAAGCATCGTAAATTTAGGATTAAAATATTCTTAGGTTTATTTTTTAATTTAGATATGGTTGAAACCATCATAGTAATTAACATAAATCACGCTAAGCATAATGGCTTAACACTTTTCACTTTTCTTGCCACTTAAAATCTTATCACAGCTAGTAAATAAGGTTTTCTCTAAAGACACACTCAAGAGTAAAGGGACTTTGTGACCAAAAATTTAAGAAAAATTAAAAAAAAAAAAAACTTCAAAAACTTGTTGGTCAGTCAGTAGTTCTTACTGAGTGCAGGGTTTATTAATGAGTGTTTGAGGAGGCAGAAACAAATAGTCGATAGAAAAAAGAATGAAAGAAGAATGTATGTATGTCTACAAATGCCCACAGGTCACACTCTGATTTTGTTCTCACCGAGCAAGCTAAATACAAAGCAGACGATATTGATGATATTGAGTTGAGTTCTCAGCAATAAATGTAATGAACACACGATAGTACAAATTACCAGAAAAAATTTTAAAAAATTTAAAAAGATTACACCAACTGTATACTGAACGAGGTGATTGTTATGCCCAACCGAAAAAAGTCGTCAATTTCGTTGATTCTTTCACGCGGCGTGTATAAAATTCAAAAACGTTAGATAGTAAGGGCAGCAAGTGAATGAAAAATCGAGTAGGAGGGCAATTGATGGCAAAGTAAAGAAAACATTTCACGCATGCGCAAAGCTGTCTAGCATTATAAGTGTGCACACTAACCAACACACACGCTTACATATAGTATATGCGTGGCATACATGAAATTAAACGCACTGCAACGGCAAGGGAGGATATGGAAGGTATAAGCATAGTTTAAGACCGTAATAAGTAAATGGCGGTGATGATGATACCAAAAAAAGAAGACAACAAAAAGTCAGCTGAACCTTTGACACGGCCAAACAATAATATATACATCTATAGTATGCTTCACTGATAGTGGTAATAAAGGTAGCGAAACAGGAAAACGTTGAGGCAGGTAGGCAATGTAGACTTGGCGGCAGACTAGAGCTGATTTTGTTTTGGTTGTGTGGTTGCACTGAGGCAGGTGTGTTTCGAAAGGTAGCTACGTGTTTGCAGCACAGTTGCTAGCGTATTTGACATCAACTGCAGCTTCTTCTTTAKACTTGGCTCCTCACTACCAGTTTGCTCACATATCCTTTGCAAATGAGAGATTTGAAAGACTCGTTTCTTTGCGCATTGTKTGGATTTTGTTTTAGTTTAAAAAGGCAATAACTGTGTTGTTGTCATATGTTATATATACACGCGCACAAATGTATATATATATATATATATGTATATATGTATATATAGAGCCTGATGACATTGCCAATTTGACACATCAGAAAGGTATGTACACATGTACGTACATATGCATGCATGTGTTAACTTCCAACTACAGCTATATGTCGGCAGGTAATATGATCTTCTGCAAGTATTTTTCGACAGTACAATATGATTATTGCCTGTTTTGATATGTGAAGAAATTTTCCAAAATTGTTTCGCCTTACACTAATKTTATTTGTTTTGATTGAAAATTGGCAACAGCGTATAGAATTTTTATTCCTTTGATTTTTAGCACAATTTTAATATTTTGGCTGTAGTACGAAGGTTATTGCATGATTAAGCCTGCATTGTGAAAGAATTTTCCCTAATTTTTTCTTTGTATTATACGAATGTTATTTATTTTGAGTGAAAATTGGCAACTTTGCATAGCATTTTAATTCGTACGATTTTTAGGATACTATATACTTAATATTTTGGCTGTAGTACCCGGAATATTGCATGACTTAAAATTAATTAGCATAGAAAAAGATCTGTTGTTATTTTCTGAGTTTTTTTTTTGTTTTTTTGCTACCTTGTAGCAAATATGATCCATTTTATGAGATGCCCAATATTTTTTATATTGAGGCATATGTACATAGTTCCGACACTAGCTTTAAGTCCAGGTTTTCAATAGCAACTTGTATACTGGAGAAAGATTTTTCCAACACCCTAATTTATATGACGAACACTTATATAACAAAAATAATAATCTTTTTAACTCACAATCTCACTTTCAATTCTCACGTAGTTATTTCTTCAAAAATCAAGACCTAGTGTTAATATGATATATACCGTCACCATTTTATTTAACCGTTAATATTTAATAAGCAGCTACAAATTAACACATAGATAGCTTAGAAAATGCTATGTTTACATTTCTTTGTTRTTTCGGCCACCTTCTCCACTTTCTTCTGGCAGATGAACTTATATTTRGCGGTACAATCCTCATCGGACCACAAAGATTGCACAGTTTTTCCAATCAACAAGCACTTGTCGCTGTCATCGCCATTGGGTTCGTTAGCATCCCAGTTGGATGTGGTGAATGTTTTGCCACCAATWCCCCACACCCAATTGCTGGCATTAAGTCGGTTGCCCGCTGACCAGTAAGCGGTGTTTGTCACATCTGTGGGTGTGTGGAAATAACGATAAAGTAATTACAAAATAGTTTTTTATCTTTATACGGCTTATACCCACCATACAATTCACGAAAGCCCTTGAAGAGTGTTAATAAGTTGAAATTTTCAGGCGCCACCAGTTCCCAGCCCTGTGAGTAGCAGTAATAGTTGGCTTCAAACCAGGAAACCTAKGTAATGCGTACATTTTGTACCGTTATGTGATTTATTCACCTCASCCACATGTCATACTCACCTCCTTGCTGCTGACATAGTAATCGGTGTTGTCGCTCAGACTGCCCGGCCAGCCGAAAGAGAATTCATTATCCTCGCTTAGTGGTGTGGCTTGACTAACTGCCAGCAGCGCCACAAATATCAGCACCAGTTTACCGCTAGATTTTTTCATTTTTTAATGTTTGCTTTGCACTGTTTTGTTTGCAACTAATTTCGGTGAAATTGCTCGTCGTTTTTATATAAAGAGAAATTTTGCAGTTATACCCGGTTTTTTTTCAATACTCTTGTGTACTTAGAACATAATCGATGGCCTGACTTTGTGTCGGGCAATTTAATGTACACGGATTAAAAACTGTTACTTTTAATGGATATTTTAGTTAAG